TGTTGTCTGTCTGTAACCGCAACTCAAGCAAGTTTTCCAGCCTACACCACTGCCATCTCGGTGTAAGTAAACAATCTTTAAAACTACCGCCACGCGTTTGTGCCTAATTCCAGCTCAACGGCCTTCCCTCTCCGCCCCGGCGTGCCCGGGCTGCTGGCCACAGCCCGCGTGCAGCACGGAAAAGGGCTCGGGTCGCTCCCGGCCCGCACAAGGGGGTGCACCAGGATCTGGGGGAGCGCCCGTTCACCCGAGCTCCCCAAGGGATGACAAGGTCCAACGGTCACAAACTCCTCCAAGACCGTTTCAAGCTGGACTTATTTACTGTCCGAGCCCCAAGGGCCTGGAACAGACTGCTGCCGAGGGCGGTGCAAGCACCTACTCTGGACACTTTCAAGAAACATTTGGATGCTTATGTTGCTGGGATCCTGTGACCCCAGCTGACTTCCTGCCCCTGGGGCAGGGGACTGGATCCGATGGTCATACAAGGTCCCTTCCAGCCCCAACGTCTATGAAATCTACCACCATTGCCCTCGCAAACCGGGCATCTCCACTCACGGCTTGACCATCCATCCCGTGTGTTGTCAGATCTCCCCTCAGACTTCTCTCCCCCTGTTCAGTCATCAAATCACAGACAATTTGGGCTGGAAGGGACCTCAGGGGGTCGCATCTAGTCCAACCCCCTGCTCCAGGCAGGACCAGCCCCAACTCCATCATCCCAGCCTGTAACCCTAGTTCTTTCAGCCTTTTCTCACAAGTCACGTTTCCCAGACCTTTAACTATTTTTGTTGCTCTCTTGGACATTTTCTAATTGGTCCAAATCTTCCTTGAAATGCAAAAAAGCAAGATGCACCAGCGTCTGGAACGACGCTTGCACTGGTCAGATGCGATCAGAAAGAAAACAAAGCAAGGTGGCAGCCCACGTTCTCACTCTTCACTTTTGCCTCTTCCCAAGCAAGGAGGAGATCATGCCAACAGGGTGCCCGTTGCAAAGCCAACAGCATACGGCGATCGACAGGAGCATCGCTTGCAAGCCAAGGACAGCGATTCTCCTGCTCAATTCAGCACATTGGACAACTTACACGACTTCCCACACCCCTTCCAGAATGAAGTGGGTTTTGGGGGGTTTCTCAGGCAGGGGGTGTTGGTTGCACCCCTTCATCCTCACACACTGGAGTCTGAGTGGAGGGGCAGCACCCCGATGCAAAATCATCCCTCAGCCCAAACAAACAAAAGAGCATACATACTGTGGATTTTTTGTAAACGGCTCTAGAACGTGGCCCATTTTGTGGAAAGCATCGTCTCCCAGCTTTTCTTCCAAGCAAAGCAGGCTGCAGAGTTGAGTCAGATCCTCTTTCGAGGTCTGAAGTCCGTAGTATTCACCTATTGCAAGAATGATCAGCCCCAACTCTAGTTTACTCTTCACCGGCCAGTTTTCTGGTGGAGCAGATGCACCTCTCTCAAGAAATGGCTTGCCTAGTTTTCTCAAATACACCAGAAGCATCTCGTTGACCTGAAGTGGGAAGGAAGAGGGGGAAACACAGCTATTTTCCATGGTTTGGGGAAAGGAATGAGGAGAGGGCCCTCATTCACCATCTCCTCCTGCACAAATTAAACAAAAACACACACGACACTAGCTTGGTTCTAGGTCGTTAGCTGTCCCCATATAAAATATCTGCTTCTCCCCTTCGTGCCAAACACCACTACAGATTGAAAAAGCGAGAAAAGGTATACAATTCCTTAAAAGTTAGGACTGAAAACAGACAAGGGAGGGGGAGAGGGAGGGATAACTTTTAAGTTACTTATTTAAAGGAAGAAAGTTAGCCATCCATGCAAACAACATGCAAATTATAGTTAAAACAAATACCTCTTTTGTTCCAAACTCTAGCGATGTCCACTTTTCTGGCCTTCCCTGGTACACCACCGGATTGCTGGTCACTACATAAAACTGATGCAACTGGTTGAAAAAGCTCTTTACATTGATGCAGGACCAGGTGCTAAGGAGGCTGAAGATGGTCTCCAACATGATTTCTCCGGCTATCCTCTTCCCCGTCAAAACTTTTTTCTTTGTATCATCCAGCCCAAAAAAATTCTTGAACTTCTTCATCAGAGAAGCATCAGGTGGAGCACACACGATATCATCATACTGATGCCATTCTAATGGTAAAATAAAAACGGGATTGTTTTGTTTTATGACGCCATAAAGCAAGCAGAGAAGAGATGCGTTAGTGATGCTACAAGCATGGTCTCCTGGAAGCTATCGGCCTCTGCTGTCAGGCTTGCTAAGGAGGCCACAGAAAGACACAAAAAGCAAGCATGAGCATCAATCATACCATCTAAACCTACCCAGACAGCACTCCAAGGCTCTTAAAGCCGCCTATGAATATCCTAGCTTAGGGACTCATGATGGCAATGGTGCACGTTGGTTTAAATCTTGCCGTATTTCCTCACATGCAGCACACCCCCGTATCTGCTATGCACCTTGATTTTGAAGGTAAAGGATCTTTGAGTAAGGTAAGGAAGTGGCAATAGCTCTGGAGCCAAGCCCTGGAGCCATTGCACAGTCCCAGACCCAGCACACCGGGTCCAAGCCAGCACATGGCCCCCAGCCAACATGCAGTCCTGGCCTCGGTGCGCCAGGTCAGACTCCGCACGCTGGGTCTGGCCGCAGACCAACCTGCGCACCAACCCGATCTGGTGCACGGATGCGAGGGGTGGACCCACTTGTCCACAAATGTGGTGGTGGGGGCGGGGGTTTGCAACGTTAACTGCCATGGCTCCCAGAGTCGCAGCATTTAATGCTGTCACCTCTGTCTCCTCCCCCACCAAGTTTCCAGATCCATGGGGATCCGTTTTCCTCACATACAATGCCCACCTCCAGTTTTCCCCAACTGGTTTTTCGGGGGAAAAGGTGTAGGTTACATACAAGAAGATACATTCAATGCAATTTCAAATCAGTATTTTTATTTGCCAGGTTACATAGTCTCACACACTGGACTGTAGCTTACCTTCAAAACAGGGGTCAAAAGATATGTGCATGTAGCGATTGATGTAACCTTCTGGACCATCAGACTTGTAAATCATTTCATACTTTCCCTCTTTCTCACCAGCTATATAGTATTTGTAGACAATGCCTTTATCCAAATTGTTTTTGGAAATAAGAACATATCCTTCAAAGAGGTGTCCGTGCTCTTGCAGGTCCCTGTTTAGTACAAAGTACAGTACATATTAAGCAGCCGCAAAGAAGAATGATCACAGACACTGGTTTAATGCTTCATTTTTAGCAGTCCCACTGGCAAATCAGTTGCTAAAGGCTACTTCCAGCTTCCTCCTATTTAAGGCAAAAATCCACTTGGCCCCTCCAAAGCAGCTACACACCTACAGGAGCCACGTCTCTTGTATACTTCATTTCCCCCTCTACACATCACTAATGTGATGGAGCCACCACAACTGCTTTAGGGCTGATGCTTGCCAGGTCCTCACCCTGGGTGTGTTGCACACACAAGGAGGTGGTCAGCAGTCTGTTGTGCATCGCCACACTCACATATTAGACTGTCCTTTAAGCCAGACTTAGAGCGTGGTATGAAAGCACCCAGCTCCAGAGCAAATCCTGTTTAGTTTAATCTGTAAGTTGTGGGGAGCTTGTACTCAGGTGGGTAGGGTGCTGGGTTACTTGTGAAGTGCTTGAGACGTCAAGAACCGCCAGGAGCCACTGGAAGCAGAGCAAAAAGCCAGTGCTGCAGCTTAGCCAGCTATTAGCATCCTGCCAGGTGTCCAGTGCTGGGAGCAGGAACAAGGGGATTCCCAGCTCTCTACTGTCCAAGCTTGGACCAGCCGCTCTCACCCCTGCACTGCTGTAAACTGCAAAGAGTACAAACCTGCCTCACTGGGCTGCTGGCAGGCTGCACACGTTAGCCTTGGTAAGGCATGTCAAGAAACTTGGCAGGGAAGGCCAGGAAAGGGCCATTTGGCCATTTCACAAACATGCATGTGAAATTCAAGATAGGTATTTCTGAATGGAAGATGGTGTGGGTATTAGAGGACCACAATAAAACTAGCTTCTTCTCCCTGCTTTGACCTGCAGCTCTAACACCAGCGCGCACTCTCCACCGTTCTCCTTCCCCCTGGGAAAGTATCGTTTTCTTATTTAATCCATCAAAATAGTCCTAGAATTTGGGGTCGGCCCTGATGTGGGCATGCAGCCAGGTCCTGTAATATTTCCCAAATGAATCTCACTGTCCCACATTTAAGATAAGGTGGTATTTATCTAGTGGTACTTACTTTGTACAGTGCAATTCGCAGATATTATCATGCCATTTTTCATATCCTGAAATACCTTCTCCCCTGATGAACACTTTATGCTGCTCAGGGTTGAGCTTGAAGTCTTTAGAGATGATTGCATGGAAGTACACCATGATGCCTTTTGCAGGAGACACATGGCTGCAAGGAAACGGTAAAAAAAAAAGTTTAAGAGCTCTGCGGTCCTCCCCACGCCCACCCTCGACCCCCCAGCGTTCACACTGCATGTAGAGGGAGCCAGCAGCTGTAAGGACAGTTAGACCAGCTGACCATCAATTACTTTGCCGCTAAATCATCTTAGCAGAAATATCCTGCACGGCTTTGTGCAACGCAAAGAACCCGTGAAGTGGCTTATCCATCTTCATCCGTACCCATTACATTAAAAAGCTGCTCTTGGCAAGGAAGTCCTGACCCTGTCATCACACAGCTGGACTTCCCTGCCCAGGCTCAGGAGGAAAAACTGGGTCTCTTCCCCTTGTCCAGGGCCATATTTTAACTTCCACAGTCCCTGAACAAGACCTCAAGTTCAGCACAGTACAAGTCCCATGCCTTGAGGCTCCTGCATGGCCCAGCTGTATTCACCCTCCAACACGGACCACAATTAAAAGCTCACTTCATTCCCTAACCCCTGTCCATGGTGAGAACATTACCACAACTCCCTTGTGCCCCAAGAGTGCCCTCTAAGCCAGAGGTCCCAGGCACTCGCACAGGTGCCGCTCAGCCATCGTTACCTTGAGCAGAACCCGTCCAACTCATACTGTACCTCTGTTTAACCACACGTGGAGCGGCTTTCTTGTCTTTTTCCTTCTGCTTGGTTTTCTGATTGCTCGGGACGTCACCCTTTGTTTGGGCTTGACTTCTGCCTCGTCCTTCCTCACCCGCCTTCTGGTTTGCCTGCTGCTTCTCCTCCTTTTTGCTTGTGGTCTTTACAACAGAGGCATAGTCTTGTTTTGGGTGGTCAGCCTCCTTTGGTCCCTTTTTATTATCCGCTGTCCCCTTCGGGGCCTCCTGTGACCCTCCTGCCGCCTTTTGCAGCCCTCCTACCGCCATCTGCAACATAAATAATCATGCGTGCAATGAACTGGAATCCCCCGGACCAGCAGGCTGCCGTCACGATTCATGTCAAGCCATGGAGATACCACATCCTGCTTTAGCCAAGACTGTTTTTGCTTACTTGCAATAGGAGGAAATACCTAATGTCAGCAGCACAGCGACGTGTTTAAGAGAGGGCTGTTTGGGGGCTGCTGTACAGCACGGTCCTCTCTAGACTAAGAAACGCAGCATGGGTCACAGCTGTGATCAGCACTAACACCATAAACATGGCCCTAATTTGGCTACCGGCGGGAGCTGCAGAGCAGAGGGGTCCGACTCATCATCCCAGTATACTCAGAGGGGCCCCAGCACCTTACCTGGCTGGTTGCCTTTGACACTGGAGCGTGCGCTTGCTGCTTGGACTCTTGTTCCACCTTCCCTTCCCTGCTCTGCGTGTCCGGAGGCTCGGTCGGCGAGACTTTGCTCTTCTGATTCACGGCCTCTGCAGAAGGACTAGCTTCTTCGTTCTCCGGCGTTTCTGCACTGGTGGGAAGCCCTGGGGAGTCCCCTTCTCCAGCTCCTTTGGAGCCCGGTGCATCTCCGTCTGCCCCTGAAGTTTGGGCATCGGATGCTTTTCCCAGAGGCTGCTCCGTTTCAGCAGGGCTGTGGGCATCCTCCTGCTTCTCAGATGCCCTCTCTTCTCTGCCCTTTTCTCCATCACCTTTGGGATTTCCATCCTCCATCTTCTCCTGCGGAGCCATGGAGCCTGTGGGCTGAGCCGTCTTGGCACAAGTATCATCCTGGAGGCTGGTGCTGCTGCTGCAGCGGTCTTGCACAGCCATTTCTGTGTTTTTATTCTCGTCTCCCAAGGAGCCCACAGAATCGCTGCTTTTCGTTTCACCTGCGGTGCGACCAGCAGGCAGCGCAGTGCCTGGCTTGGCCACTTCGTCCTCTTGGGTTGTGCTTTCCGACGCGGGAAAGGGGTCGCAGGATCTTTCCGAGACCACAGAACAATCTGTGCTAGGTGCGCCTGACTTTAAGGAGTCTGGCTGCTCCATGCCCAGGGCATCTTTCTTCTTCTTATTCTTCTTCCCCCTCTTCCTTTTCTGTGCAACAATGCAGAGAAATAAAGCCCAATTACTCTCAGTAAAGAAACCGTTTTCATTGCTTCCCTCCATTCAACCTCGACTCCTTCTCTGCAGATGGAGACGTATTAAGCTAGGCTCACCCCTGCCCATGAAATCACGGCTAACACGACCCCAATTTCTATTGTAAAGACAAAAGGGAATCAAGTGAAAAAGGAGGAGGCCCCACTTGAGTCACAGGGAGTCTTTTACCTCTGAAAACTGAACAAATAAAGTGCTTTTGGGACAGGACCAGGAGATGCCCTGAGCAGCCTCTGTCTGCGCAGGTGCGATTATGCCCTGGCTGCCGCTTTCTACCCCAAAGATGAGTGCGACAATGAAGGGGGGCAAGCATTTCAGCATTTGTAGCGTGCGATTTTCTCCAAGGGAGCCCTTGGCAGCGGGGACGGGACAGACGTCCTGCATCGGTGCCCTCAGGAAAACAGTTTAGGCCCATTTTCCACCTCTTTCACCAGAGCTGGACAGATGCCCCGAGGCCGGGCACTCCGCAGGGAAGGGCGGTGCTCAGAGTCCTACAGTACATACATTTAGCGAGGGGTCCACGTCCCAGGTGTTAAATGCAAGCGGGGCTGCAGGTCCGAAGGGAGTGGAGGTTCTCCAGACCATAAGCCCCTACCTGGCCCCCGCCATGCGCACAACAGCCCGGTCACAAGCCACGATGGAAGAGTGACGGTGAACGCGACAGGAATGGAAAGCTATGCACAAAGCAGCAGTCGGCTCAAGGCTGGCTGGAAGGACACGCGCGCAGCAACCCCTTCTGCCTCATTTGCCAGCGAGGAGTTTGTAAGAACAGATGAACCGCGGGGGTTTCAGGCTAAGAACCACCCCTGCGCAGATGTACTTGCTCTCCAGCCCCCCGCGGGGCAGGTCTCATCCTGCCGACAGCGGGCTTGAGCCCAGCCCTGCCCTGCTCACTTCCAATTCAACCCAGACAAAACCCTCGTGCTGGTAAACGGGGCTTCAGGGCAAAGAAGTGGTGTCGACTCCTCCAGATACAAGAAGTACCAGGAGAACTACCTGCCGTGGGCTTGCGAGAGATGGGCTGCTGCCTTCAGGTGAGCCTGGCTTCTCCTTTCTCCTCTTTCTGGAAGGAGGGCTGGCAGCCTCTACCTCACTCACCCCTTGTACTGCCTGTTGAGAAAGGGCTTCACTTGCAGACAGACCAGAGTTAGGAAGTGGAAACAATGAGCTAGAACAGCTTCATGCATTTGGCCATTCGCTACCATCTGCCTGGCCGTACGACAGCCGAGGGGATGGCAATTAGACAGGGGAGAAGCTTAACATGCACGACCATCCCCTTGCTCCTAGCATCCGGACCCCAGGCTGCTTTTGCTTCTGAAGGTGGTCGTTCCTCGGAGGCAGCCTCCAAAAGGCACCGCGTGCTTTTGCTTTGTTGCAATCTATACAAGCCAGGGGACAGGGAGAACGAAGGACTGGAGGAGCTTGGTTCAGGGCTTCCTTGACCAATGTGCCCACATGCAGGCTGTGAGGAAGGCCCCGATGCAGAAGCAACATCAGGGAGAGGGACTCGTAAGGAGGGCACCTTGGCCAAGGCCAGGCAGGGGTTTAAACCGGAGGGAAAGATTGCTTCCAAGTGTCCGCAGAGAGGAAAACAGCTTCCAGACTGCAGCAGGAACGGGAGAGGCAAGAACGCAATGGGCTCAGGCTGCAGCAAGGGAAGTTGAGGCTGGGGATTAGGGCGAACTCTCTCATGAGGAGGGTGGTGAAGCACTGGACCAGGTTACCCAGAGAGGTGGTGGCATCTCCATCCTTGGAGGTTTTTGAGACCCGGGTATACGAAGCCCTGGCTGGGATGATGGAGTTGGGGCTGGTGCTGCTTGGAGCAGGGGTTGGACTAGATGTGACCTCCTGACGTCCCTTCCAGCCCTCGTTTTTTTATGAACGCCTTGACAGCAGCCTCTGTTTGTCTTACAGAATTACAGGGGCCATGATCACCAAACTGTTGGGGCTGCCGATGCTGCCTCCCCCCGCTCAAAGTCACAGTAAATTAACACGACACCGTGCCCATCTGATGGCAGCAGAGCGAGAGGTGCAATTGCTCAGGTCCCGCAGACCCTACAATGCCGAGATGCTGGGTGGGCTCTACAGAAACACCCTCGTACTTCACGAGAGTTCATCACCTAGGCGTTTAACCACAAGCAGCAGCACAGGGCCAGCCTCTGCAAAGCACGACACCGAGGCCCTGGGCATTTGGTCGTGGGGCTGATGTGCAACTTGCTGAGCAGAGGCCACCACGGTGCGACCGGGGCCACAGCGTGGCTGTAGTGGATGGTAACATCACGGTCCAGGCATGAGGAAGGAAAGCAACGGATCCTAATTTATATCTGCAGGGAAAGAAAGGAGCCGTCTGCAAGCTTTTAGCCGACGCACTGTTTGCCAAGAGCGGGTCGGAGCTGTTTTAACAGCACGCGACTGAGAACTCTCCTGCTGCAGACTGCTACCCCCAGAGCGGCACCGCGCCACTGCCATCGCCGTCGCCGTCACCTCTTCAACGCGGCTTTCTTCTTCCAGCGCCGGCACGGCACCAGGCCTGCAGACACCGCGCGCTGGCAAGCCCGAGAGGTTTCATTCGCACTGGGAAAGCCGGGAAACAGTGACTCAGCTCCCAGCACCGACCACCCCTCGCCTTCAGATGGAGCAAAACTGGCCCCCATCTGCAAAGCCAGTTTACACCACGGATTTAATCCAGATTTGGGGTTTTGTGGCCTTTGTGCTAGGCTAGCCCTTTTCAGAAGTGAACTCCACTCTCTGTTGCCAGCCTATCTGTCCTCTCGCAGCATCACAAAGGGCCCAGATCTGCAAACGGACAGATCACAAGTTTTACTGGAATCTGTTCAGATGCCAGGATTCACTGAACTGTGCACGCACAGACAGAGGAAAGGCAAAGCTTGCATTAAAAAAAGTATCGATAGGCAATTTGGCAGAAATCCTCTACCAAAATAAGCTCCTTGTCCCTCTTTCCACACAGTTCTGTACACAGTGTCACGCTGTGGCTTATTGATGACTGCCCAGTAAGTGTTTTGTGTTGTACAATGATTTGGGACCAAAGCACGAGCCACAAACCTCAGTTCCAAAACCTGTATGAGACTGGCCACAAAGCATTAATTAAAAATAAAAATGGGAAGAGTCTGGTCTCATTAGTTGCTCTAGGTTTCTATATTGGTGAGAGACCCCGTCAGCCCATTCGCAGCTGGAAATGACTGAGTTATGCTTACAAAGAAAACCAAAAAAGCAGCTGTGGGGAATGTCAACAGAGCCTCGCGATTCTTAGTAAAGCTGTTACTTTCGTGTCCATCGTTAAGGAAAGGGGCACCCTGGAACAGCTTGGGAAATCCTCCCTCAAGCTGCAAGGCAGAGGTTATTTTGTGGATCATAAAAATCAGCGAGAAAAGAGGGCTGGAGGGGCCCTCGGGGCCAGGTGGTCGGAGAAGCCCTGCAACGTCTGCAGTCCACAAGACTTCACGTTTTCAGCAGGGTGATAAGAGCTCGGCACCAGCCCGGTAGCACGAACCCAGCAGACATTCGTTCTGGTCAGGTTGATTTTTACCCTCGAACATTTCTTATTTCTCTCCTTGTGGGAAGGGTGTTGCTGGGGTAGCTGCGTATCCAGCGCCAGCGGCACGAGGTGCCGCTGGCTACAAGATGCATGGCGCTAACCGAGAGAGGATTTCCTGGTGCGGGGGGCTAACAGCTGCAGAGCGCCAGCAGAAAGCTGTAGCGCCGGGGCTGTCCATGCTCGCTCCTGATGAGAAGGACTCATCGGGAAGGAGCCGAGGAGCTCGCTGCTTGGCACCCGGCGTGAGAGCCCTACCCAGTCCGGGGGCTTTGGGGAATCGTGTCAAGTCCGGCCCGTCGCATTCGGCTGTACTCACTTTCTTCTTGGAGCCACCGGTCTGAGCCCCGGCGTCCTGCCTGAGCGACTCTTCTGGCTTCCCCTTCGTGTCTTTGGTCTCGGCACCTGGCCCAGAGAAGGGGACACCCTCTACCCTCAGCGATCGTCCAGGCTCCAGCTCCATCTCCTTGGCCTCACCGCCTCCTGCAACTCAGAGAGCATCCCCGGTCAGGGAACAAGGAAGAGGGCGAGAGCACTGTTCTCAGCGGGAAGACGCAAGGGAACCGCACAGCACCTGGGGAGCGCGGCAGCCAAGAGGAGAGGGGTTTCTCCAGCCTTTGCCAAGCTGAGCTGGAAAGGACTGCCACGATAACAGCTCCCCTCGCTGCTCTCTCCTAGTCCCCCTTCCCCCCCCCATCCCCAAGCCAGGCTTGGTGCCTCTGCCTGTCCTGGGGAGGAAAGTCTCGAGCTCTCCCACCCCGGGCCAGGGGCTGGGCTGGGCTGCAGCACACTCTGCATCAGCCGTCTGCTGCTGCACATCTGACCAAGGCAGGGCCCCGCGGTTCCTCCTTCTGGGCCCCCCTCGTGCCTAGGGAAAGCAGGACAGGCACCCATCCAGCTCCCAACGAGACCGTCTGCACGGCACCAGCATAGACGGAGCCTTTCCAGATGCTCCAGTAATACAGTCGTGTCACCACCAAGACGCAGCCACATCATTCTCACCCTGCCCCGCCGTGGCTTTGGGGCCCCCCAGCCGCAGCGTGCAAGTCGGCACAAAGGGAGAGCATCTGCTCTTCCTGGCTAGCTCCATCCTTAGAAAGGAAGGGGGAGGAAGAAGAAAGCAGGAGCTGAGGAAGTGAGGGGGGCACCAGACACCACCAGGTCCCGACTACGCCCCTCCTTCCCCACCCAGGTGACTCCCAGGGGCTCCTACCTTCCTCCGAGGTTCCTGCGTGTGGTGGCATGGTAGGGGCACTGCTACACGGAGGCGCCCGCCTCGCTGTGCCAGGCCCAAAACCCGACCCGCCGCCCCTGCCCCCACCCGGCGCCCCTCACTCCCGGCCTGCAGCCCCCACCCTCAGCCGTGCCATCCACGCAGCATGCGTGCACGCATGTGCACATGCACACACAAACCATCTGCGTCTCTGACCTGGGAGCAGGGGGCCGGACAGCCAGCGCGGGAAAGCAGAGACAAAGCAAACCCCTGGGCATTTGCTCGCATTTCAGAAACCTGCCCGGACACGAGAACAGGGGGCCAAAAAGGAGGAGCTGCCCGGGAAAACCTGGACCTGCGGTAACCCTGCCCAGGAGGACGCGCGAGTATGAATACGCTTTGAGCAAACAAAAGCAACTGGAGTCTTCAGTCAAATCAATTCCCAATCCCGGAGTCATTCAAGAACCGCACGTGACCCGACTACCGGCAAACATCCTCCACCCCCGCCTGCGGCTTCAGC